TAGAGCAAAATCTCTATCCCACAGACATAGTAAAAATTTTTGTTTAGAAGGCACCAGCTCTCTTCTCAACTAGCCACCTGGCTAGAAAGACCATAGACCACTCATTTGCAAAGCAATTAAGACTGCCTTTGAAGGATTAAGTTACAATTCAAACTCTTAAAGCTTGCACGCTCAATGGCCTTTGTGAAATTCATCCCTGCTGTTACTCATACTGCTTTCAAAAAAGTCATGCAAGAGGTGAATAGAGGAGGAAATACAAGAAGATCTACAGAACTTTTAAATTGTCGGAAGTGTGCATATCCTGGAAGGAGGAAAGCCAACATTCCCACAAAAACGGGGAGAGGGGGGAGACAACCAGAACTCTGTTTCCAAAACAAGATTTTTTCCTCGTTAGGCATTTAAGTGCAAGGAAAATGCTAACTTGCTATTTAATTTCCTCTTTCTAGAGTATGAGTTGGACCTCCCAGATCCAGCCTCTTGGAAACTGAGCAGTCCTGGATCAAGGAATTTGCCAGACCAGGGAAGGTCCCCGCCACTGGCCCCCTCAGCCTGCTCCCCCTTCCCATCTCCTGCTCCTTTGGCTGGCTGGGCTATATAGCTACCCCAGCATGGCAGCTGGCACAGCAGCACCCAGCCCTGGCCCTGCTGCCAGCGAATCCATGGCTTTGATCCAGCTGCTGATCTGCCACAGCCCCAGCTGGGTTGCCATGGCCCCGGCTCTGTTGCCACAGCCCCAAATGGGCTTCTCCTGTGGGACTGCCGTGGCCAGGCTGCCGCGGCTCTGTCCCCACTGCAAGGCTGGCATGCACAAGCTGCCCTGAGTCCAGCTAGGTTGTTGGGTTGCACCCGCCCCACTACCACTGCTGGGCTACTGATGCCCAGTCTCACTACCACCAGCCTTGTCTGGGGCTTTCAGCTGCTGGACCTCCTCTCCCAGGGCTCTCTCGTTCAGCAACATCTATGATGTTGCCAGATGAGAGTGTCCCAGTTTAGGGAGGTGCAACCTGTACTAATTACTGCTAAAACAGAGGTACATGTTTACACACACTTATGCATCAGAGGGCACAATTTCTATGATCTTCTACCCATCTGACAGGTTCCAAAAGCCTCTTGCAAACTGAAGGAATTAAAATTCAAGTCAGGCTACTAGCACATTGTCCTTCCACTACTGACTACACTGCACAGGCTACCAAAAGATCCTGAGCACCAGCACAAACTGTGCCAGGTGGGTTGAGTGTATTACTGAATTGTGCCCTGAAGAACTGCTGGAGCTGGTAGAAAGGCACTGGTGGAATGGAAGGCAGAAAGCCTGCCTTGTAGTCTTCAATGTTCTCTTCTATACTTTTAATCAGTAATACACTCAACCCACCCGGCAGAGTATACCAGGCAGCAGCAGGTAGTTTAATTTGACATTAGAATTAAATGTTAAAAATAAATCATTCAGGTATTTTCTGGTAGTGGCAGGCAGGATAGAGGAGAATATTGAAGAATACAGGACAGGCTGCCTTCCACTCCACCAATGCCTTTCTACTGCCTCAAGCAGTTCTTCATAGAGATGTTAAATTGCGACATTCACTAATTGAATAGTCGATGCATTTTGCATCAACTATTCCATTAGTCAATAGGGCGCCTCTGCCTTTGAAAGGCGAAAACGCCATGTCGAGCCCAGGGTCAGCTGGGGACTCCCCCACTGAGCCCAGGCTGCATATAGTGCTGCTGCTTTGAAACGCTGCAAGGAGCGTGACACTGGGCACTTTGCAGCATTTCAAAGCGGCAGTGCTGTCTGCAGCCCAGGGAGTCCCCAGCTGATCCCAGGTTCCACAGCGCTGCCGCTTTGAATTGCTGCGTGTAGCCTGGGTATACCCCAGCTGGCCCTGGGCTGCATGCAGCATTTCAAAGTGACAGCGCTGTGTGGAGCCTGGGGTCTGGCCCCAGGCTCGGGCCCAGGCTTCGTGAGGCGCTGCCGGTTTGAAGTACCCCCTTCTCTTCCCCTGCCTTGCTGCCTCTTTCTGATAGAGGCGGGGGGAGGAGGGGCACTAGTCAACAGGCTACCGTCAACTAGTTCTTCACGGCACAATTCTGCAAGGCAGCACATTTTGTTTTAAAACAAGTTGAAAAAAAAAATTCAGAAAGTTTCCCATCAGAAATCCTTCTGTTGTTGAAACAGGAAATGTCTTCTCCCCTATTAAAAACAAACTTTAAGTATATTCTTCCAATGAGGGGATAATCTAAAAAATTTGTACTGTAAGTCATGGGATACATAAAGTGCATTTTTCCCCCACTGCCAAATGCAATCTTTGCATTGCTTGTTTTCTTCTCAAACTCACCTGCTCAGATCAAGATTAGACTGTTAATGTGTTCTTCCTCTTCCCCCATCTCAAACACACATACCATCCATGACCAGATTAACATGCTGTTCCAGACAACAGTACTGAAAATGTTTAGAAAACTCCTCGGAGATCTGGGGGGTAGGGAGGAGGGGGAGACTTGGTTTTGTGGGCAACACCATCTGCTTTACCATTGTCTAAAACATAGCACCATACCATTCCATTAAGACTCACAGCAATCTTAATTGAAATAGAAAAGTAAGACTAAATAAATTTGCTTTTCTTTTTCTGTGCTGCTGTTGCAGAATTCCCCATCACTGAGTAGTTCAACATAGTGTAGTCTTCCAGAACAAAATCAGATGTGCTTCATCTATGTGACCAGAAATACGCCATGATTACTTTTATATTTTTTACAATTACTTTTATATTTTTTAAAGGAAGGATTCCTGTCAAACTCATACCCCAAAAGCACGAGCAGGCAACATCATATCAATACTGCAGAGTTTCGGAATTCTGCATTTACATTTCCCTTTAAGGGAAATGTGCAATTTAAAAAAAAAAAAATGGGTTGGCATCTTTTTTTTTATTTTATTTTTTTTATTAAAAGGGGCTCTCTATTACATATAAGGAAAGCCTGAAAGAGTTGTGGGGAGGTAGAGGTTTATGGTTAATTTTTTCCACTTACATACCATGTATATCAACTCATTTTGTTAGTTATGCTAAAGGACAGTGTTTTACTATATGCTCTCATTCATTTCAATGACTCTTTTTTCCAAAACGTTAAAGGCATCAACAAAAAGACTCAACAAATTGTAAACAGATTTCAAAGAGGGTCTGAATAGGGACAATAAGTTATTTTCTAATTTAGATATTCTCACTTTAGAATCATAGAACCATAGAGCTGAAAGAGACCTCAGAAGGTCGAGTCCAGCCTCCTGCTCTAAGCAGGACCAATCCCAACTCACCCTTGTTGAATTACCTCTGATGTAAACACTCCCATCTCTGTACCCCTATTTTGTTTTTTCTTTCACTTCATGCATTTGACGAAATGAGTTTCAATTCACGAAAGCTTATGCCATAACAAAATTGCTAGTCTTTAAGGTGCCACTAGACTCCAAATTGTACATAGCAACAGCCCTTTTCCTTCCTAACATATACTCTGAGCTCTTAAACATTTTTAACCAGAATCTTCTAACACAAGATCTGAAAAAATAATGCAAAAACATGAATACATACAGGATAGTTCATGCCTTCCTTACAAATAAAGTAGCAAAGGAAAAGAACAATGCAATTTCCCCCATTTGCAGTTTAACCCTCAAATTCAAACAATGAAACCTATTCCCATTATAGCAACTGGTATCTATGTACACAAACAAAGAAAAGGTGTTAGCATTCTAACACAGTCCATGCAACTATGTCCCAAAAGTATACTCTTTCTAAAGATAAAGTCTAAGCCAGATATACAAGGGGTAAACATGGCAAAGAAATTATGCAGGCCTCAGAAGAAACTCACAAAGCAAATAGCGTGGGCTTCAGTAAAAAGCTTTTAGATCAAATAGAATTTTCAGTGGCTGCTGAAGTCTTCGGACCTAAAAGCTCGTGTGGGGTAAAACTCATTTTCCTGAGCTTTGAATCAACTTCGTTGGGGACAAGGGGGCTAATATAGAAAAATTAGTTTTAAGTAATTTCATAAATAAGTTCAATGTTTTGTTTTACAAGAAAAAGAAAAGTCGTTAATCTAAAATTACATGCATCAATTATCCCTCCCCATCCCACTTCAGAATCACAAGGACCTTTCCCACAACATGACAGCAAGAGAACAAACAACTCACTTGCAAAAATCTGATCATGATTAAGTCACCTGATGTAATTATTTTTACATGGCTATGGGAAAGACAAAAAGTAGCAGAATATCCAAAGTGTTAATTTTTTTAAAGAGTAGCTTGAAAGGGAATAAAGTGCAGATAGCTAATCTTTGCTGTGATCTTCTTCCATGTTATGCAGCCAAATGAATTTAGTGATTTAGTATCTGAAGTATAGTTAAGGAAGTGCAACATGTAAATGAACAATGCTATTATTTCTACCTGCTCAAAACAAGCACTTTAAACAAATTAATAGGACAAGACAATGCCCAGCATAAATTGATTCTAATACCACCTAAATATTGCTCTTTATGTATTTTAATATAAAGCTTTTTTCTTCCTATCAAAGCAGACAATTACAGTCAGTATTTATACTATTTCTCATCCCCTATACAGTTGAACAAGAACAAGTGTCTGAAGTAAAATTGCCTCTTACTTTGTATGTTTGAAAACAAATAGAGCTACTTCTTCAGACCTTAAAATTATTTGATTGTGAGTAGCATAGGCAATAGTATCTCCTTTTCATTTAACACAGAATCATCACCAGCTTGCCTAAATTAAAACTGCTGAACAAAAACAAGCTAATTTTTTAGCTTGTAAATAAGTTTTTGCAGATTCTAAATTATGATTAAAGCATTTTTATAGAACAGAGTGTTACCAGAAGCCTCTACTTTGATTAAATTAAGTAACTGTCTTCACCAGTTCAGTCAGAGATTAAACATTTGTTTTCCTTATAATGCTTGATGGGGCTGCTAAAGATTTTTAATGAATTGAAAACAGGGAAGGTCAAAGAAGGGAATTAAAGTCTAACCTTCAATCTCAGAGTCTGATGAATGTCTGCTGCAAGCTCCCCTTTCCACCATTGCTCTTCCAACCTCATTCTTCCCATGCAAAGGTGTGGAAGAGAGGGATTTGGCAACTCTAGAAAGGAAAGGAACCAACTAAATAAGTCAAGCAGCTTGTACAAATCAAACCAGTGCCATCAGTTTTTCATAGCTATTTTAGTGTTAGTTTCTTGTCTTTGATTGGCAACACTCTAATAAAGCATAGTCACCAGTTTGATTCAAAGACAAAAATACAAGTTATTCAGAGTCATCATAAGACCATGAAACTTCTGATTAGAACCTGTAGGTTCTGCCAGTTATGACACATTGCCAAATCCTTCTAAGGAGTTTTGCACAGCATTGTGCTGGACAAGGGAGGGAGGAGGCATTTAAAATTTCATGGAGCTTCTCCAATTTAATAAAGTATTTCATACACTATTGTTGCTTCCTTCCCCTAAGATAAAGTGGCACCTTTATCCTCAGCCACCATTACTGGCTAGTTTTTAGGGTACTAACTGCTTTTTCTGAGTAAACTTTTCTTTTTCTAAGTTTTTTTTTTGGGGGGGGGGGGGGGAGGGAGGAGAGACCGGACGGGAAGAATGAATCCCAGCTGGAGAAGTCCTGGAAGACTTCTCTCACCTGATCAGATGAGGACAAGAAGTGCTCTACACTGATTTTACCTCTATTGGCTCTAGCCCTTCCCCCACCTGCTTGTGTAACTGGGGTTTTAAATATCCTTCTACCGTGCAAGCCCAGCCTCCAGGTTGGGTCTCCCTTATTTTAACTAACACCGCTACGCGACTTCAGGACCCTGAGAAATGCAACGTGTTACCTCCGCGGGCTGCCTCCTCTGTGCCTCTCACACGGGGCAGCAACCTTTGTCCTGCTCCCACGTCCTGCGGATGCTGCGGCAGCGGGAACGCCGCAGCCACCGGGGGATCTGCCCCTGCCCTACAAGTCGGAGGGAACGACGGGCCGTAGATGCCCCTCCCAAGGGGGCACCATGCAGGAAAAACAGCTACGCAACCTGCCCCTGCGCCAGCCTCTCTCTCCCCCCCGCCTCCCCCGGTGTCCTCTTGCCCCGAGTCCTTATGCACTGCAGCAGGCTGCTGCCACTCTATGCAACCGCAGCAGCAGCGCTCGCGGGGATTACAACACCGTCCGCGCAGGCGCAAGGCTTCCACCCGCAGGACTCTGGGGGATGTAGTCCCCATTCCCCCCTCCCCCCAACACACGCGCGCGCGCGCGCGGTGAGGCTGGTGGGAACTGGCAGGTGAGGCGGGGCTTGGCTCCTGGGGCGGGCGCTGGAGGCAGAAGGTGTCCCGCGGGAAAGCTGCGCCTGCTAGCGCGCGGGAACCTGCTAAGCACGTGCTTGCAGCAGCGCCCGCCACAACAGGCTCACCAAGCGTCCTGTCGGGGCCAGCGTGAATTCCTTATGTCAATCATGCGATGAATGAATCATATTTGAAAATAATGTGCATCTAATCATGCATTGTAGTGCCAGTGAGAGCTTGGCGTGGTCCCGCGGGAAAGCTGCGCCTGCTAGCGCGCGGGAACCTGCTAAGCACGTGCTTGCAGCAGCGCCCGCCACAACAGGCTCACCAAGCGTCCTGTCGGGGCCAGCGTGAATTCCTTATGTCAATCATGCGATGAATGAATCATATTTGAAAATAATGTGCATCTAATCATGCATTGTAGTGCCAGTGAGAGCTTGGCGTGGCAGTTTGGGACTGGGGAGTAAAGTCAGTGAATGGCAAGCTTCCTCACAACTTCAGGACCCAAGAAAAGCAACTGCTGCCATAAGCGGTGAGGAGTCCTCTGGCACCTTATAGACTAACTCAAGTGTTGGAGCATAAGCTTTCGTGGGCAAAGACCCACTTCGTCAGATGCACACACATATGCAAAGACCCACTTCGTCAGATGCTTCCATAAGGTATAAAATACTGAGGACTAAATTAGCTGTTACCTCTAAAGAGAGAGACCTTGGAGTCACTGTGGGCAGTTCTCAGAAAATACCCACTCAACAGGCCACAGCAGTTCAAAAAAGCAAACAGAATGTTAGGAATCATAAAGAAAGGGCTAGAGAGTAAGAGAGAATAGCTTATTGCCTCTATATAAATCCATTGGCACATCCACATCTTGACTATTGCATGCAGATGTGGTTGCCTAATCTGAAAAAAAGATAGTTTGACACTGGAAAAAGTTCAGAAAAGGACAAAAAGCTGGTTAGGGAAATTAAAAATGGCTGCCATATGAGGCTAGATTAATAAGACTGGGATTTTCAACTTGTAAAAGGGATAACTAAAGGGGGATATGGCAAATGTCTATGAAATCATGACACACCGGTATGGAGAAAGTAAATAAAGAAAAAGTTATTTACTTGTTCCCATAGCACAAGAACTAAGGGTCACCAAATGATAATTAATAGGTACCAGGTTTAAAATAAAAGGAAGTATTTTTTCATGCAATGCACTGTCAACCTGTGGAACTCCTTGCCAAACGATGTTGTGATGATCAGGACTTTCACAGGGTTCAAAAAAGAACTGGATAAATTAATGGAGGTTAGGTCCATCAATACTTATTAGCTAGAATGGGTAGGAACAGTGTCCCTAGCCTCTGTCAGAGGCTGGGATTTGGTGAAGGAGAGGGATCGCTTGATGATTACTTGTTTCTGTTCACTCCCTCTGGGGCACCTGGCATTAGCCATTATTGGAAGACAGGATACTGGGCTAGATGGACCTTTGGCCTGACCCAGTATATGGCCATTCTTATGTTCTTAACTCTTTTGCCAGCTGCAATCACACAGGCTACATCTACACAGCAGCATTATTTTGCAATAACTGGCGTTATTCTGAAATAATGAAGAGCGTGTCTACACAGCAAGCCATTATTTTGAAATAATGTTGAGCTGGAGGACTTTTTATTCTGACTCCTGTAACCCTCATTTCACCAGGAGTAAGGGAAGAAATGAAGAGTCTTCTTCTTTCTATTTTCTACTGTATAGACAGTGCCAAAAGCCAAATTAAGCTATTTCGATTTCAACTACGTAATTGAAGCTATGGAGCTTAATTCGACTTTTGACCTGCTGTGTAGATGTGTCCCCAGAAGTCAGGGGATGCCCTGCTTACCATTATGAAGTTGGCTTTAAAATCATGACTTTTTTATAATAAATTTGGGGCTCTTTATTTGCCTTTTGATTTTTTAGACTTATGGCTTATGTTTTGGTGTTTTCTTAGAGATCCCTGAGATCTGGAAACTCCCCTCCCACACACACACACTGAAAACTCATATGAGCGAACATCCACTGTGAGCCACACAACATCCTGTACACAGAAAGAGAGATAAGCATCTGTTATCCCTTGCATGAAAGGAACCTAGGACATGTCACCTCTTGGTTACCTGCCTTAGGAACATAATTTTCAGTGTAGATCAGAGTGGACAATAATTGTTTATGGGGGGGGAGCACTCCAAGATTTTGATAAGTGGCTAAGGGCTGCACTTTTCAGTGGAGTCGGTCCCCAGCCTGTAACAATGCTTGGGATTCTCCCGTCCCAATTGCAGGACTCTACAGTTGTCTTGAACCTCTTCAGATTTCTTTTGGCCCAGTCCTCTAATCTGTCTAGGTCACTTTGGACCCTATACCTGCCCCCCAACGTATCTCCCTCTCCCTCTCCCTTCGTGTCATCTGCAAACTTGCTGATGATGCAATCCATCCCCTCATCCAGGTAATTAACAAAGATGTTGAACAAAACCGGCCCTAGAACTAATCCTTGGGACACTCCGCTAGAAACCAACCGTCAGCCTGACATTGAGCCATTAATTACTACCTGTTGGGCCCAACAATCTAGCCAGCTTTCTATCCATATTACAGTCCATTTGTCCAATCCATACTTCCTTAACTTGCTAGCAAGAATACTGTGGGAGACCATATCAAAAGCTTTGCTAAAGTCAAGGTATATCACATCCACCAATTTTCCCATATCCATGGAGCCAGTTACCTCATCACAGAAGCTAATGAGATTGGTAAAGCATGACTTGCCCTTTGTGAATCCATGTTGACTATTCCTGATCACTTTCCTGTCTTCCAGGTGCTTCAAAATGGATTCCTTGAGGACCCCTCCATGATTTTTCCGGGGACTGAGGCAAGGCTGACTGGTCTGTAGTTCTCTGGATTGTCCTTCTTCCCTTTTTAAAAGATGGGCACTACATTTGCCTTTTTCCAATCATCTGAGATCTCTCCCGATCACCACGAGGTTACTTCCGCACACCCTCTCTGTTCACCCTCTTATTGGGTGAGACTTTCACATTTCAGAGTGGGAGTAGACTGTACTGCAACAGTTACCAAATGGTTAATGGATAGAGTCAGTGCCATTATTTTTCCACTTGTGGCTAATTACTTGACTAACAAGCTGCAATAGTTGGGGTAAAAGGCTGCAGCTCAGCTAGAGATGGGCTAGTATTTGAAAACCTGAAAAGGATTTGGTACCAGATGCAGTATGGAAGGAAGTAAAGTGAGTGCCTGGATTGTTCTAAGAGTAAGTACTAGAATGAGCTGTTCTTGAAGAGGGACTGGGAGGTTAATGAATGTAGGAAATTCAAGTAACCAAGTGCTCTATGACAGTACATCTGAGGAAGCAAACCTTGGCTAAAACTAAGAGTGAGCAGGCCAGAGTTCTCCTATCTGCCCCCAAGGTAAAGGATGTAAAGCTCTCCTGATGCACGAATGTGGATGAAGACATGCCATTAGATAATTAGCCTATTTTGCTTTTTTTTTTTTTTTTAATTCATCTGGAAAGGTTGGGATTACAAGTGATCTGAGTGGAGGGCTGAGTTGTGAGAAGAGTCAAACCATTGCTTGCTATTATTGGTTGTTGATAGAGGGTGCTGGAGTTGAAGAGACACTACATCTGTTTGGCCATAAAGCAGTCTTCTACAGAGGATATGAAGGCCTATTCAAGAATATAGGTTAGGAAGTACATGGAAAAATATCAACAGAAGTTTTAATCTTTTGAATTTTATGGTTCCTAACTTGGGGAGGTATTCCACAGGCTGCAGGATAGTGAGCAACCTTGTGAGGAAAAGTCTAAGTCTCTCTCTTCAGGGTGGATTTCTCTGTTTCCCCATCAGTAAAATAAACAATAGTTTATGCTTGGTTCCCTTATAAAATGCTTTGAAGTCTCCTGATGAAAATTGCATGTGAAGTGAGTGGTATTTATAGTTTATTTTAGAATGCCCAGCATACTGGGGTCCTGATTACATCTAGACACCCTGGGTATGTCTGGGGGGGGTAATGTAGTCATACAGAGTTGCAAATGAAGCCCGGGATTTGAATTTCCCGGGCTTCATTTGCATAAAGCCGGCCGGCGCCATTTTTAAATGCTGGCTAGGTCGGACCCCGTGCCGCACGGCCACACGCGGCACGGACTAGCTAGTTCGGATTAGGCTTCCTAATCCGAACTAGCTATACACCTCGTTCCAGCTGTGTGTAAATGCCAGACCTTATCTCTCTCACCAACAGAAGTTAGTCCCTTCTTGTATCTCTAATGTTGTGACCAATACCGTTACAACAACATTGCATACCATACGGATGGCAACAATAGCTGAGTCCTGGGTTCAGAGCCCAAGTGAATGGGATTCTATTCCCCAGGTCCTGGAGTTCCATATTGAGAGAGTTGGAATCTATTCATCACCCTGCTCCCACCTCCACACATATGCTTCTAGGGAGCTGTGATTTGATTTACACCCTAGCACAAATTGCAATTGACTGTGTTCTAATCCTTCAATTTTCTGCTCTACTGACTGCAAGGAAGACCAGTAGTTCCTGCAACTAATAAATCAATGTATCCATTAGTTTCTTCCAAAATCTACTTCCCAATGAAAACGATATGAAAAAATGTTATTTCCAAGTAAAAATTCTACTAGGTAGACTATAACTTCTCACACTTGGGGAAATGCGGTTCCATTCTTACAGATAGAGCTGGCTGGGAAAACTCCAGGTTTTTTTGGAGGAATTAAGGGGGGGCATTATATTTCCTATTGATGTTTTGGCTTTATCACTGGAAAAATAGGAATTTTTTAAAGTTAACCAATTTTCGGAAACACTGGTCCATACAATGAATCAGTTACTTGCACAGAAGCCAAAT